TTGACACTTTTTTTTTCCCCTAAATTAGATTTTTTCTCATGCCCTAGTAACACCAAGAAGCCTGCTAGTGCAAAAACTGTAGACCAAGTTAATTAGGTCCAAGATGTGACTTTACAACACGGTGGCTACAACCCTCTGAGCAGAGCAATATTGCCATATCCCTTCTAGGGATCTCTATTTAAGCTTCAACTCACCTACACAGAGAGAAAGGCTTCTGGACACAGGCAAATCTTTCTCAAATTGCATTGTTTTTATCTTTTGTCACAGGTTGGATCTTGTATAGACCAAAACTTTTCTAAATCAGAAAGATAGCTCTCAAGTTGAATAATAGTCAGACATTTTACTCTCAGAATCATCTTCAGTTAGCAAAGTCACTCATATTCTGTCTCAAGAGTAGACCAATTTTATTCTAACTTGCTTGCTTATATTATTCTAACCTGCTTGCTCTGCTATAAGGGTCATTTCAATATTTATCTGAAAATTTGCCTCAATTATTCTGCTGCTTTTTTATATGAACAAGTGACCCAAAATTAAAACTTGCACTACCTTATGCTTGAGATGTTAAATATGCAACATTTTCAGCAGCTAAAAATAAAAAAGACTTAAAGATAATCCTATGGTAAATAGATATATGTATAAGATTGTGGTTTTGCCAGAAGAGAAAAATCTGTCTCTGAATTAAACCACCATCTGTAAATTTGTACAACATGACTGCCTTTGAAGAATGGTGAAGAAGTTTAGGATAATCACTAAGCTGCAATACAGTGTCTGAGCAGTCAACCACCCACGGTCAGGGTAAGTAATAAACTGATTCCTCAGTGCTCCGTCTCTCAAACTTGGCTAGGCTGGTAAAGATGCTGATGCAGTCACCTGTCTCACAACACACCAGGTCACCAACTTTTTAGGCTCATCAGGTTTTATTGGGGGTCGTGTGTGTGTGTGTGCGTGTGGAACATCATGCAGCCCAACCCCACTCTTGACCACTGGCGAGAGAACAAATACCTCAACTACAGGATTCAGAGAGCTTAGAAGAGTCAGGAGCATCACTACTGGAGTATGTGAACACCCAGGAGGGCATGTTTTCATATCTTATCTAGCCACGTATGCCTTGTGCAATGAGGTGAAAAAAAGCCATCCAACCATTACGAAGAAGGTCCTACAGCAACAAATCCCAGTTTCCTCCTCCTCTGCTGCAACTATTAAGATACAATACAATACAGAAAACCATCAGTGCGAGGCATTGAGCTATCTGGGGTAAATCCTGGTCCCTGAGGTGAGTACACACTTCAACTCCACATAATGAGGCAGAGCACAGCTTGCTAAACCCTTCATAAATGACTTTTAATCATTCTGTCTCAAAAACTTGCTCCGCCAGTGGAGCAAGGGGAAGAAATTTATTGTCATCCAAATTTTGCCAAGGCATGCATATTCACTTTTTTTTTAAGTAATGGCAACTAAAATTTAGTGCCATTAGTTCTTCTCATATAAGGTAAGAACAGTTTTCAACTACCCAAGTATTTATCAAGTGTTTTCACTTAATTCTGCTGGGCTATAATTTTGATTTAAATATGGAAACCTATCTGAAACCATGATGTCTAATTCTTTCCAACTTTGCAGGAATTCTAAACAGGTCAAACTTTTTGTTTTGCTTTTCAAAACCACCACAGCCAGACACAAGTCTAGCCCCCCCAGAACTGACGCAGTATTAATATACTTCTGACTGGTAGTTTCCACAACTCCCCCCATTTTTTTTTTCTTGGGGGATGTGAAAAAAAAATTTAAAACCTTAAAAGAAAGACAAGTCTCAGATGTAAAGATGCTGCGAAGAGGTGGGTATCAACATGGGTGTCCCACGTGAGCTACATAACAGGCATTAATAATAAAAGTATCTTTTTTATGTGTGTGCGCACACACATATAATTAATTCTGATTTTTCCTTAACTAGAAAGAATATTTCTAAAGACTGATTCGACCTAAGCAGACCCGTATACGTTACAAATTTTGTAACAAGTACATGCTTGTAAGCAAGGAGAGGAAGGGAAACCCTTCACATTTCTTGTAAACGCACCAACCTTATTGCACTGGTTCACTGCTCCCTCTCGAGGCAGAACGGCAGAAGTGCATTTCTCCGCTTCCACCTAAACTTAGTGAATTTTGTATGGGAATTCAAAGAACCTTGTCCTTCTCTACAAGGCTATTTCTATACAGAAAAAGGCCGTGCTTGCAGACATAATAAGCACTTTTTTTTTCCCCAATAAAATCACGTGGAACAAGGTTAGATGTCTTGTTTACCAACAAGGCAACGAACACCCACACAGCTTGGTCAAGGTCAGCTACCACCCACCCGCACACCAGTACCAGGATCCCTGTTCTATCTTGGCTATCTAACTGTAAAAAAGCAGCACGCATTTTCCACTAGACCTGCACCACCTTAACTAAAGGTTAGACAGTATTTTTATTGTAAGGTTGCTTCCAACTGCTGGGCATTTATTTCCATTTCTGCTCAAGATCCACTGTCAGACAAGCAAACTTGCACTGGCTTACAGTCACTACAAACGTCTTCGTGGAGGTCTGCAATGGCAATTAAGTCAGCTTCAGTTTTAAGTGACAAAGCACACCTCAGCTGTAGATTCAAGTCAGTCAACAAGACAAGAGGCAGAGTACTTAAGCTTCAACAACTCCCACCATACATGTCAAGCATGTTAGAACTCCTATTCTAGGAGCTAAGTGATCTCTGAAAGCCTTTCATATGTGTATGAGCATACAGAGTTAATTTTGGAGGGGACAGAAGAGATAAATCTTACATGTCTGAGCAATGCCATCACAAATTAAACTGGTTTCTTAAGTTTCCATTCAAATCTAGGGCATCAGATAATCTGTTCAGCAAATATTGCCTTATCCAAGTTATTCCGTTTCCAAGTATTAATCTGCAAAAAACTGTTTAAGATTTACTTCTTCAAGCTTTTCCAGGCCCCTAGAGTTTATGGGCTACATTCACAAACCAAGCTACATTACTACACCCTAGCAGTGGTGTACGCAGCCCTTTGCCAAGGCTGTTGTTGCAGCACAAGTCACTCTGTGAGTCCATGGAAAAGTAAGATAGATGAGAACCATGGGCAAAACCATGGAGCAAACTGAGAAGACAACTGTTTATGCTAACCATTAACTAGCTCCAATGACAAATCCTTTTTTATTTCCTGGACATTCACAGCCCTGGAAGTATAGTGGCAGAAAATTCAGAAATTTCCTTCTCAAATACAGCCAGAGATGATGGCAGCCAAACCCATAACCAGTCTGCTATGGACCAGAGCATCCACTAAGGCCACATTCGAGACAGTCATGTTTGACATCAAAACATGGTGTCATGTTTGACACCACCTCAGTCCACACAGGATTAAGACCATACTTCCCTAAACAGTGGGCTAGAGTCACGTTCTCTTTCCCCACTCTCAGATCATCAAACTTAAGGTTTTTCTTCTTATAGTGGCACAAGCTCTAAAGAAAAGCACAAGGAGCTGATTTCTCTTCCTGACAGTAGCCCACAGCTTGGACAACTGAACTGAACCCATGTGTCTGGCCACATGCTTTTCACAACTACGCCTCGACCACAAGCCATGTTTTTCAGCAACAGCAGTTACTATTCAGACATCTGTGTGAAGGAAAACCCATGGATGTACATCAAGGAACACTTAGAGCACATCAACAACATTCAGAGCCAACCAGATCAAGAGGTAGAGGTGGCAAGACACCTAATCCAACCACTTAGAGGTGTTGAGCTCTTCCGTGGGACAGGTGGAAGCCAGTAGATAGTACTCTTAGATGCTTCTGTGGGAAGGTAAATGAAACAGATGCCTTTGCCCATTTATAAATCCATTAAGAAGCGCTCACGAGCAGAGCAGAAAACTGGTAAGGTCATTCTTCACTGTGGAAATGGAACATTTGGTAAAAAGCAATGGTTAGCAGTTGAAACTAGAGAAACTGCCTAAAATTAAGGTCCCTGTTCAAAGATTCATAAACCACTTCGATGTTTCACCAGCATGAAATGCCAAACACAACTGAATCATCACCTGCTGTACAAATTGTGCTGTACACAGTGCAGGCTCATAGCATGCTAATACCCTGGACATGTGAATTTTAGCCTGATTCTCAAGCCAGCTCTTTGTCACCAACGATTCTGCAAGTCACCATGTGTCTTGAGACCTTGCCTGCTCCAAGTCACACACAGCTTTTGGAAAATCAGGAAATAATCCTGGGAAGTTCTGTGACATGTCAGAGATGAAGAGAATCTCTCACTGCTCCCTTCTTTGCTAAAAGCTACAAGACATAATTAGCATAGAAAATACACAGAGGAAACTAAACCAGACACTCAGGGGAACTGTTACAGTCATCTGATTACTTTAAAAAAAATTCTAACAAAAATCTGTAACACAAAATCCCCACACCAGTGAAACAAACTGTGTGCTTCTCGAGCCAGTGATGCGTCCAACTGCCTAATCACTGCAATGCAAACAGCCCATAGGGAACCACACACTTGTATGGACACTACCAGTACTACCTCTGGTGGGCATGATGACATTTGTCTGATCAGCCATAGCAGTGACTGAAGGCTGCAGTGATTTCCTCCACCTCCTTCGTGAACTGAAAGCCATGGAAGTTTAGGACTCAGCAACTTACCAGATAGTAAAAGCTGCTTGATCTTTTTTTTTTTTTTGATAATGATGTATCTGGCACTCAAAAAAATCTACTGGCTTTGGATCTTCTGTAAGAACCTCCAATATGTTGCTTTATGCAGAAACAGTATAAAAATCACGGAAACAATCTACTACTCCCACTTCTAAATACATACTGCAAACACAGAAATCACTTAACATTAGATTCAAACTTAAAATGAGAAAACCCCACACTCAGCTGAACAAACTTCAATGTCCTAAGTTTGTGCTTATATTACCTGTGTTTTAAGTCAATGGAGCTTTTTGCCAACCCCTTATCCAGTAACCCACCTGGTCAATATCAGCATTCCGAGGTAGAAAATACACAATATTGTTGGTGATCTTCTTGGAGAGCCTGAAAATTTTAAATGTAGAAGCCAGTAAAGGAAAGAAAAAAAACAAGGATGGGGAAGAAGTTGCTTTATATTCATTCATTTTGAAAGCATGTCCCAAATTCAGTTATTATGCAATTAAATTATAGTTATTTTTCTGGATGTGTGAGTTAGATACTCTTCTGAAATGCAAAAATTAGTACTGTATAAATGCAGAAACTATGTTGCCCTTATTGCCCTAGAAAGTAGAAAACAACCCCTCAAACCCCTCACTTTTTGAGAAGATTTAACTGAATTACAGAGAAGTTTTGAGAAATTTTAATGTAGTTTACAACTAGTACATTGGTTTGGTATTCGTTTTCTAATCCATTTTGTGGAACCTCTCTTCTCACATGCATCCAAAGATTTCCCTTACTCTTACAAATATGTTAGCCAAAAAGGAAGCAACTAAGATTATTTTTGGGGAAAAACACCCCACTACACCTCTGTTTGATGAAACTACTATGCTAATACCCTCCCAGATGAATGAGTGCTCAGTAGCACTGGTAATAAATTAGCATGAACTTTTATACATTAATTAAAAGGGTTAATATTTTCCTTGCACTCTTCTGTGATTTCCCAAGTCACAGACAGGTGCTATGACTGAAAGTAATTTGAGTAAGATATTTAAAATAAGATACACCTTTTATAAATCAATTAAAAGTGGAATTAATGACAAAGTCATAGCTCCCATAAGTAATTATTACCTATGTATACACACCACACGGCCGTTTGATTATTTCAGGGTATTTTACTAGAATAAAGGAGTTTAAACTCCTGAATTAATGCTTTGAGTTAAGAAGTTACTACAGTTCTCTAAAGGATATTTTACTTTTAAGAATAACTACTACCTGTTCTATAAATAAAAATTATAATAAAAATAATTAATTTTTTGTGGTCAAAGTCATATTGCTGAGGTTGGGGGAGGAGGCCTAAAGAGATGCTGCACATCTGGGACTTCAGCTGCTGGTTCTATCATCCCCACTCAGCCAACTGGACAGGCAAAGCCCCTATCAAGAGAGGGAGGAGAAGAAAGAGGAAAAAAACACTTGTAAATGACCAAAAAAATCACAACAACACGTGACTTTGAAAGGATATCCGTCTGGGCAAATCATGGTTTGGATATCGAAGATTTCGGCTGTGGCGTAGTCAGGCCCACCCCAGGGCGGGCTGAGGAACACGACGTCTGCTTGCAGGTCGGCAGCCAGCACCATGAAGTCCCCACACACGAATTCTATCTGATCCGCCACGCCGTACACCTCAGCGTTGTGGCGCGCGAGAATGAGCTTCTCGGGGTCGATATCGATAGCGATCACTGCAAAGCAAAGAGCAAACGCACAGGTTAACTGGGATGGCGAATGCCACCCAGCCTCCAGAAGGCGAGTGGCTACTTAAGTCTTGTAGTTCGTGACAGACATGAAGGACCTGCCCTTGCATGGCAGAATAGAGGTTTCACCAAGAGCAGAACCGCTGCATGGAAAGCCACACAGCCAAGGCTCAGCTGCTCTTGCAAGGCTGGGAAGCTTTAGCACTTGGGAGTTATACACCTATTACCATGACAATCCTCCATATCAGCTCAAGCAGGGGACTGTCCCTCAAGTAGGTGACTGTAAGGCTGTCCACCTAATTAGGGAAAGTCCTCCTTCCTTCAGTCTTGACAGGAGCCTGACATCTTAAACAGTGTCAATTAAAAACTTATTTTTCTTAAACATTTGAAAATGTTTATAGAATGGATCATCGTCTACCAAATTTAACGCAGCAAAACATACCATTTGTCTTGCTCAGAAATTACTCAGAAGCGTTAGATGAGCTGGTATTTTACCAGATTGTTAGATGAGTAGAGGAACATCAAGTAGTCAGTGTTTTATAGAAGGCACTCTCAATGTTTCACTGCAATTAGCTGGCAACAGGAACTTTGACTAATATTATCATCACTTTTCTGTATTTGCTTCTGCTGCACCTGCAGGTTATCCCATTCAAGTGTCTTAAGTATTGAGTACACAGACTTGACATAACAACTGGGAAAAGTAGCAGCTTTGCAGCGTCTCTGCAGGTTGGCACTGCAAACAGAACTCAACCTTTACCAGCAATCTTCAGAGCACCCATCAGACTAATTACTATGCCACGTACAAATAACTTTGACTAGTACAACACAAATCCAACTCTGACTTAAAATACAGAACCAGTTCTCTAGGTCCTTTCCCAAAACAGAAAGCTCATATTGCCAATTTGATGAAGCAAAAAAGCTTCTGTTGCTTCAGAAGCATTGAAATTAAAATAAAAATCAGTGAACAAAGTCAATACCCAAATCTTCAGGGAGAACAGCCAAAATAATGCACTACATACCACATCTGCTTACCTCTTTTTGAGGTCAGTGCAAACTGGATAGCGTTTCCTCCCACCCCGCAGAACGCATCCACTATGATATCGCAGTTGAACGACTCACTGACGCGGACGGCAATATGCTCAGCGATTTTCTCAGGAGTAACGGAAAACCAACCCTCTGGAAAGGAAAGGGAAAGGAAGAAGTGTATCTTTGCCTTTCATTTCAAGGTCACCTAAATTCAAAACAAACAACACCCCCCCCAAAACTGAAGGTTTAGCGTTAATCCCAACGCGTTTAGCAGGAAATACAGGCTTTGAAGATGATAAACTCCAGTGAGTCCAGCAATTTGCTCAGCAAACAAAGCCTCACTGGAGCGAACAGATATGCCTGAATCTTGATAAATGCTTTGTTGAACTTGGTGCTGAGGATTCTGGCTTATCAAGAACAAGTCCACTGAGACAGCGACAAAAAACTTTATACATCACGATTGCACTCTGTAACAAATAAACCCAGAAATATATTCGCTCTTATCCAACATGTTATTTTCTTTATAGCAATACCTGGTCTGCCAAATAATCTAATGCTGTCCCACATAAACACACAGAAGTGAAAGGTTTACAAAACCAAAAAACCCAAGATTCAAAAAAAGCAATAATCCTCATTCCTCCTTACCTAGACATTTATGATTTGGAAGTGGTTTTCATGCAAACATGGAAAAAAGTAACTTTGAAAGTGACTGCGGAGAGTCAGAACAAAACAGAAAAACCAGAACAAAACTAGATCCATCAGCATATTTGGAAGCTTCACAAAACTAATTTATAAAACGTAGAAATAGAAAAGTGTCATCTGGTTTCTGGCGAAGTCCTGACCAAGCATGATTTGGGTACAGTACTTTCTTACATCTAACACTAATGCAAATGGGGGTGTCCCATGCTAGAAGCAATATCGAAGTCCAAGACTTCTCCCTGCCTACCTGCTGGGGGGATGGAATTTATCCAGAGCTGCAAATGCACACTCAGTAATGCTCCTTCTATAAGAAAAATCAGTAATAAACTGCAAGAAGGGCCACAGGTTTGGATACATCTTATACCACCGAGTCAGCGCACTTTGTACTAAACACACCTCTGTCTAGTTTAATTCCCTCATCAAACCTAGAGAACAGCCGGTAGCGTTGTGCCCAGTACTTGGCCAGCTCCGGATCAGCAGCAATCTCAGCAGGTATAGCTCTCAGCGTAATTTTCTTCCTTCTCCTCCTTTTTTTCTCCTTCTTCTTCATGGTAGTTTTTTCATCTACAGCTGGAAGACACTGCAAAAGTTAACAATCGCTGTTCTTGTAGGTTAGGAATGTAATCGGTAGCTAGGTGACTGAGAGTTAAGATGCAAGATGCTCATGTTTAGCGACACCGCTAAATGTCCATTATTACTGTTGGCTGCATTATACAGATTAGTAGTTAAAGTTAAAAACGAGCATCCTATATTTCAAGGGAATAGTGTTACCTGACAGATATCAGTCCTAAAAATCCAAACACTTTACTCATTATTTAAAAGCCTTAACAAGCTAGCCATTATCTTGAACTGATGGTAATAAACTCTATACAGTGAGCAAACAAGTGGATCACAGACCAATTTAATGTCCTTCGATAAATAAGGAATAAGAGCCAATCTAGACAAGGGCTTTACAGTAGAAATCTAACATAACTGAATTGCTGTAGGAAGGATTAAACTACATGTAGAACCTGAACAATCCCATTTACCTTTGTTTGCAGTTTTAAATAGAAAAGTCAATGATATGATTTCTCCCCCTCCAAGAAAACAATTTTAATGCAACATGCTCCCCAAAGCTCAGCAATGTGCATCTGAGAACCCTAAACCCTTCGGTCTGTCCATCTACCTGAAGCTAATCACCCTCATCCTTACAGGTGAAAAAGGGTGTGAATTGGAAACCTGTCAGATCATGTCTAGGATCAACCACGACTGTTTACCTGTAAAGAAATACTGCCCATGTTAAAGATAGGACCTGGGATTCTGGCGCTCCAGGAATAAGCTACTTCCACTAGCGCAGATCTCAATAAGCCTCACTACCCCCTGGGCCCAACGCGTCTCTCTGAATAAACAGAATAAATACCACACAACACTCTATTTTGGGAAGGCAGTATTAAGTCTACTGCCAATTCACTTCCACTTTGTGGGAAACAGATGTACCTTGGCTGACGTCTTCTGTCTCTGCCTGGAGGTAATCGGGAATATCCAGAGAGACCAGCTGCCGCTCGCAGCCACGCTCCTGCCTCTCCAGACCCTGACCATTGGAGCCGCTCGCCCCTGCGTCCTGCGCTTCCTCCTCACGGTTACTCATTCCAGGTTCTGTGGAGGCCACACTGGAAGACGGTTGCTTTTGGTTTTCAGCATTCAACATCACAGTCCGTGCAGCTGCAGCACCTCCCTGGTCCTCTGAGTCGCTGCTCGTGGACAATGCCTCCACTTTTCCGTGAGGGGATGCTGGCTGGGGTGTGGCTTCCTCCTCATGCTTACTAACCTGCTTTAGGAACAATTCCACCTGCAATTGTCAAATACCACGGATGATTAGATGGTGCCATTAACCAGCTACCGACGGCAGAGTTTAAAAGCACCTGCCAGGCGTGCACCCTCTACTCCGTGTATTTTGAAAAAAGTAAAAAAAAGGTGTATCTATCAACAGTTGTGGGTCACGATATTAGTTTATTTGATCCACATCATGTTCTCATCTTTGTTGTGTGTGTTAAAAATCAGTGTTGGCATTTGCAGGCTGCTGTACCCTGCAGTGATTAGTAATGTTTTGCCTGGAAGATCTGTTTATACGTCACTGACCCTGAGCTTTCTGTGGTGTCCAAGTTATGTGCTGAAGCTGTTAACTGTACTTGGGGTTCCATCTCATGGAGATAATTAGCAATTTTACTACATCTGAGATATTTTTTTATAGAGGAAATACAGAATACAGTGATGTTTCCTCCTCATTTCCAATACCCTTTCGGCATCTTGAACAACCTCGGGTAGTTAAAATACTTCTGTTGACACTTGGGAATATTATTTCAGTTTTGTCTAAGGTTAGCATGCAGTTTAAGAATATAATCCAGAGATCTGCCCTGAGGCTGGATAGTTATGAGTGGCAGGGTGTGTGGAACAGCATGGGGAAATGCCTAGGGCGGTGGGCACCTCCAGTATGTTGGAACTTTACCCCTGAACAAGTGCAGAATCCTCAAAAGCTCAGAGAATATTTGGAAGTAGTATGCTGTCACCCCGGCAGTTCCAAGGACACAGAAATCACTGCCATGTGCTGGGGTCTGGTCCATCCTACCGAGCCTTGTTTAACACTATTCACCGCCCTCAAAGAGAAGAGAGGGTCTCTGGATCTGATGACAACGTGACAGGCACTGCAGTTACCTCAACCCCCATGACAGGCACTGTGACTGAACCAGAGAACCAACCCATGCCGGTATCAGTCTCTCTTACCCAAGAGAAGAAATCTTGGAAGTGGGACTCAGCTCACTAAGTAAGGGATGAAGAAGCTGCTTCTAAGAGGAAGCAAGAGGAAGAGATGGAGGAGGCAGACTACTCTGAAGCAGGGCCATCATGAGAACAGAGGAGGGAAGAAATGGTGCTCCTGCTCAGAGAGGAGGAAGAACTTGTAAATGAAGCAGTAACTGGGGTTTTGGAGTTGGGGATACAGAGGATCTGCTATACTCCAACTGAAAATGAGATACTAGCAGAGGGATGAGGGAGTTCAGTCTGCCTCAGAAGTGGTTGGGACTGAAGCACAGCTCCTCCTGGCACCTCGACTACCCGTGCTGGGCTGGATGTTCAAAGGCAGAGTCTGTTCCACTCATCATGCCACTGATGCTACATGGAGTAAGTGGGTCGCACTGATCACACACCGAGCTCGATAGGAAACCCCAGTGGCCCAGGAATCTTGGAACTGATCATGGACTGGCCAAAAAGCAAAGACGGGCCAGTACTTTATCTCCATACGGACTGGTAGGGGGTGGCTACAGCAATGGAAGCAGAACAACTGGCAGCACAGAGGCAAACCCATCTGCTGCATTATGGCAGGACATTGCTTCCCATCTAGACAACCAGGTCACTGAAGTGTGACACATCGATGCCCACGTACCCAAAAGTCAGGCCCCTGAAGAACACCACTGAGACAACCAGCAGATGTTCCACAGAGTAAGGGAATGGTATTTGTGTGCTGTATCAATGGATGGAATGGGAAGGAGGGAGGTGGTCAATGAGAATGTATTGAATAGTGTGGGACTTTTGCATGATGTAAATGGTATTGAATAAGGAGTGGAGAATGTGCTGGTTTTAGCTGGGACAGAGTTAATTTTTCTCACAGTAGCTAGTATGAGGCTGTTTTGGTTGTGCTGAGAAGAATATTTATAACATAATTATGTTTTTAGTTGTTGCTAAGGAGTGTCTGTATCAAGCCAAGGACTTTTTCAGTTTCTGATACTGTACTGGTGTTCCTTCTTGTAAAGAAGCTGGGAGGGGACTCAGCCAAGAGAGATGACCAAAGGGACATTTCATGCCACCAGACATCATGCTCAGTATGTAAGTTGAGGGATGGGCCAGGGGTCCTCCTCTCTCTCGGGCTTGATCTGGCTCTGGCTGTCGGGGACTACATGGGGACTGGCTGGGTGTCAGCTGAGGGGTGCTGAGCAGTTGTGTAATTTGTTTCCTTTTCCTTATTTTCATTACATATTGTTAGTTATAGTATTAATATTATTAGATATCATTATTTTTTCTTTACTTCCAATTATTAAACTGTTCTTAACTCAGAAGTTCTTTCACCTTTTTCCTCTGATTCTCCTCCCCAGCCAGCTGGGGGAAGGGGGAGGTGAACAAGTGGCTGTATGGTACCTGGTTGCTGGCTGGGGCTAAACCACAACATGAAATACACTGACCTGTACAAACATTTTACTCTCACTGCTGAAATGCCAGCACTAACAAATGCCCTCACATGCATTTTAAAGTCAAAGATACTTTCAGTAATATAGAAACTAGAGGAATGATGCACCCAGATGTTAGGAATGACTTTCACCTAACTTTTGCCATTAAGCTTGGATTCCTCTTGGCTGCCAGGAGTCCACTTATGCCTTTCAGTACCCACCCTAACCTAACTACATTTCACCTAAGCAGGAAAAAAAAAAACCCAAACATATAGAGCAGTGGACGAACACTTAAAAAATACGACCCACTCTGGGGAATTTTTTTTTTCCATTTTCATAATTCAGCAACAGCTAAGGGAGCAGATAAATCTATGAATTACAGCAACACTAACAGTTAAACCTACCTTCTTCAAAGTTTTATTTTTTTTGCAAGACATTTCAGATTCCTCTGTAAAGAAGATGTGTGTGTTTTTGCTCTTCCTTGGTTTACGCATATCCAAGAATTTGGACTTAAGTTTTGCTTTTTTCTCCAAGTACTGCACACTTCGGTGGGTGAAATCTGGAATTCCACCATACCTGAAATAAAATAAAAAAAGAAAAAAAGGACTTAGTTGGCTAATTTCCAAACTGAAATCTCCAAGTAGAATGTTCGTGTCTACAGAAGATGATTTACACTAAATTATTTCTGAGACCTTTGCTTCACTATTAAATATATGATACTGGGTGTAGCTGCAAAACACTGTACCTTCATGAAAAATTTTAAATATTTTTATTTTAAAATATTTACCCTTTTTCTTTTTTCCTAATAAGTTCATAACTTTAAGTGGAAACAATTTCCCAGACCAGCCTAAAGAATAGGAAACGAAAAAATATCTTGATTAGTAGAACAAAGCATCTTTTTGGTGGCTGTAAAGAACCTCCAAAACAGCTACTTTTGTCTCCTGGCAAATGCAATTAGGGGGAAAAAAAAAAAAAGGAAGTATAGGCAATTAATTTACATAGTTTTTACACAGTAGAATAGAAACTGTCAACTGGTGGAAGCAGGGACAGGTGGCC